CCCTGGGTAGAGTGCCGTGGCATCACAGCTCACAGCAACCTCCAACTCCTGGGCTCAAGCGAGTCTCTTGCCTCTGCCTCCCAAGTAGCTGGGACTACAGGCACCCGTCACAACGCCTGGCTATTTTTTTTTTTTTGGTTGCAGCCATCGTTGTTTGGCGGGTCCGGGCTGGGAATTCGAACCCGCCACCTTAGGTGTACGTGGCTGGTGCCTTAGCCGGTTGCGCTATAGGGGTCGAGCCAATTTTTAAGTTATTATCTTGTTTTTTCTGTTTTTTTTTTGTGTGTGTGGTTTTGTTTTTTTTGTAGCTCACAGCAACCTTGGCTTAAGCAATCCTCTTGCCTCAGCCTCCCGAGTAGCTGGGACTACAGGTGTGCACCACCATGCCTGGCTATTCTTATGTCTTAATATAGCCTGTGCCATTCCTAATATTAGCAAAAGGATTTTTAAGCAGCATTTTTAATGCTCCATGATCTACTCTGAGAGCTACCCACACTGTTGGCATCAAAAATTGAAGTAGTCACTTTGGTAGTTCCCAGGAATAATCTAAAGCATTTGAGTCTCTGTCCTCAGAAAACTCAGGGGACAACATACTTAGTATAAATGAGTATTTAGTGAGTGAGAAAGAGTGGTTCAGAGCATGGTAGAAATAAGGAAAGTGTGGAAAGAGGGTGAGATTCTCAGCTGGGTGGTGAAAGGGGGATTGAATTTGGCTGAGCAGAGTAGAAAGCCATTAGGGATTGAGGACGTAATTTGTATAAGAGCAGAAAGTGCTGTGCACGTTTGAGTGAAAGGGAGTAGATCAGAGTAATTGGACAAGGGATTTATGTAAGGTGGAATCCAAGTTGGAAAAGTACTATGGGACCAAACTTGGAAGCCTCTGAATGCCAACCAAGTTTAAGTGGCCTCGCCTTGGAATTACAATATTTTGGTCCATGACAAAGTTTTTCTAATCTGCTATTAACTGAAAAAAATCAAGGCAGTGTAATGGACTTTCCGTAATTCAAAATTTTACTCACAAAAAGGATTATTCTCTGTTCTGAAATAAATCTCCTCTTGTATTTTATTTTATTTTTAATAATTTTTTTAGAGACAGAATCTCACTTTGTCACCCTTGGTAGAGGACTGTGGCATCACAGCTCACAGCAACCTCCAGCTCTTAGGGTTAGGCAATTCTCTTTCCTCAGCCTCCTGAGCAGCTGGGACTACAGGTGTCCACCATGCCCAGCTGTTCTTTTTGTTGTTGTTGCAGTTTGGCTGGGGCCAGGTTCGAACCTGCCACCCTTGGTATATGGGGCTGGCACCCTACTCACTCAGCCGCAGACACTGTCCCTCTTCTTGTATTTTACATGTTACAAATTGTTCTTTTATGAACAATCATGACCCAGGGTAATGCTAGTTTACCTGGGGTAGAGTTCACTGTGTCATCATAGCTCACTGCAACCTCAAATTCCTGGGCTCAAGTGATCCTTCTGCCTCAGCCTCCTGAGTAACTGGGACTACAGGAGCCTACCACCATGCCTAATTTTTCTATTTTTTTTGTAGAGATGTGGTCTCGCTCTTACTCAGGCTGGTCTTGAACTACTAAGCTCAAATAATCATCCCTTGGCCCTCCTGAGTGCTAGGATTATAGGCAGGAGCCATCGTGCTGTGCTAGGAGTTTGTTTTCTTTCCTTTGGTTCTCTCTTTATTGGTAAAGAATATTAAAAAATCATACGCTTTTTTATTGAGACAGTATCTCACTGTCACCCAGGCCTAGAGTGCAGTGGCGTCAGCCTAGCTCACAGCAACTTCTCAGCCTCCTGAGTAGCTGGGACTGCAGGTGCCCGCCACAACACCTGGCTAATTTTTTCTATTTTTAGAGCGATATCTCACTCTCACTCAGGCCGGTCTCAAACTCCAGAGCTTAAGGAATCTACATGCCTCTGCCTCCCAGAGCGCTAGGATTACAGGTGTGAGCCACTGCTGCGCTTGGGCCTTCGTTACACATTTTTGAGTTGGAAAATAAAAGCATGAAGAGAGCAGAGAAAAATAAATATTGTGGAATTTTGCAAATTAGATTTTAGGTATTAGAGAAGGATTCAGATGGGAGGGTGACATTGGAAATGGAAGGAATGGGGGGATACAGAGAGGGAAGGGTGAGGAAGGACTGTGGTGTTAAACTGGGGAGCAGGGTCGCTGGTGTCTGGGAGACAAAGTCAAATGCACAAAACCAGGACAGGGTAAATCCTTAGGATTCCTTTAACATAAGAATCTAAAGACTGCTTCAGAGTCTGGCTTTGAGATAGGGTGCAAGGCTTGCCTGGCTTCAGTTTCTTAATGTGTAAAATTTAGCTAAGTGCTTGGAAAGGCAATTGTGAGGATTAAATGCGATTAGCACTTAACACAGCACCCGCTCGAAAGTATTCAGTAAAAGCTGACTGCAGGAGTGCTTAGTTTTCTTTAGAGATGTTGCCAGGTTCTTTTAAAAATAGTCCTTCACCTTGGTTATCAGTTGGGAGATTGGGAGAGAAAAAAGGATTCAGATACGTAATTTGGAAGTAATCTTTATAGAATTTGAAGAAGGAAAGTTTGAGCTCTGTTGACAGTGTCGGGAAGGTGAAGGGCGGTGGAGATGTGACTCTGAGAGAGGAGGCTCCTGGCAGAGCTGAGGATCTGGCTACCCAGGGCAGCTCGGGCGAAAGTCAGCTGGGGAGGGCTTCAGGGGTTCAGGGGTACCGGGCTCGTGCAGTAGTGGTGGTAGCATCCGTCCTTGCAGAACCTCGGCAGTGAGACCCTATAAATTGTGTGATTTTCTAGCCAAGTGGCTTTTAAAATGTATGTCTATGTTTAGAGACGCCCTACTACTAATTGGTTAATTAGTTAATAAATGCTCTGATGAAAACTTCTCCAAAGAGAACATTACATAATTAAGCAATTACTTGAGTAAATGCACCAAGTCAAGTAGCGTCAGAAACAATAGATTGCTTAACTCATAACAGACGTTTAGAAACCAGGCTGTTGGATCACTAGAAAGAAAACTTTCTTTTCTTGTATGATAAAGGGATCAGAGATTGAAGGAGAATGACCAGATCCTGGCCATTAATCACACGCCTCTGGATCGGAACGCTTCCCACCAGCAAGCAATTGCCCTCTTACAGCAGAGCACCGGCTCCTTAGGGCTGGTTGTGGCCAGGGAACCAGTGCACGCAAGAAGCAGTTCTTCTGCCAGCCCGTCAGAGACCACCCTTCCTGAAACAGTGAGTTGCCAATTTGGAAAAACACTTAATTCGAATCACTGTACTGATCATAGTTCCAGAAAGATGGTCATGTCTCCAAATGCTGCATTAGCGTATGTGAACCAGATGTTTCATGGAGATTTTCTTTTTTTTGTCCTGGTATTTTCAGTGTTCTGTGAGTCTCCATGTTTAAGATAATCATTTAATATAAAGTTCAAATGGAAATAGTAGGTGTAATTTATTTGGTAATGAAGAGTCATATGTTCCTCGGTGATATAGCCAGTAAATTAATTGAGAGTTTTTATTGGAGACTTACTGTTGAATATATTAAGTAAAAGTTGGTTATTTATTTCAAAAACATTTTTGTAAATTATAATGGGAGTTTATGAGTAGATTATCAATGCTATAAAATTATAGCGGTTTTCATGTAAGGATGTGTCCTCAACAGTTTTAAAGAATAAAAGTGTATGTCTCTTTTGGGAATCCGTAGACGTGCTTTGGAACATTTTACAAATTTTGGCTGGCATCTTCAGACTGCAAGCTAATAAATCTTATTTTCCATTAACACTAAGTGCTAACCGATTTATTTAATTTTTATTAATTGGGACAAAAGAAAAAAATACACTGTCTGGGAACGGTACAAGGTCACAACACAAATTAATGTATGGGCATTTTCTCTGTTGTAATCAGCAATATTTATACAGCACCATTTATATAATAAACACAGTGAACAAAGTAGGACACTGTTTTAGCATTAGAGAGCAAGGGCTTTGGAGCCAGGCTTCCATGGGTTCAAGTTCATTCCTTCCACGTCCTAGCTACATCATACCAGGCAGCTTCACAGAGCTGCTGATCCCTACCACGAGCAGGTGAGGCTGCTGGAAATCGGGCAGAGATGGGGAAGGGGAAATGTTTCTTTCCCTTTGAACTGTGATGCCATCTGATCCGCTGTTTGGCCTTGTGTTTTAATTATTGGTGTTGTACTTTCTTTGTCTGCTGGATTACGAGGTCATTAAGGGTAGTGACCCTCTGATTATCTCTCAGTAGGTAGAGAGAAACGCCTGGTATCTTAATCTAAATAAACGAGGTGAGGTATAGATTAACCAGTGTGATATAAGCGTTCCTAATTCTATATGAAATCAGCACCTTGTACCCCATAAATGCATTAATGTGTACATGATCTGTGTGTTTATGATTTAATAAATGATCAAATGGAAAATAAAAAACAAGAAATTAGTAATCACGATAACACACAGAATTAGAGAAAATATTTGCAAAGCCTACATCTGATGGGGGTTAGTATCCAAAACATGTAAAGGACGCTTGCAACCCAATGACAAAAAGACAAATAACCAACTTTGAAATGTCAACGTCCTTTAAAATGACAAGGGATTCAAATAGATATTTCTACAAAGAAGACATACAAATGACCGATATTCACATGAAAAAATAGTCAACATAATTACCCATCAAGAAAATGTTGAACAAAACCATGGTAAAATGCCAGTTCACACTCGCTTGGATGACTATAACTAAAAAATGGAAAAAAGAAATCTCAGTAAGATTGCCTTGATTGACGGTATGAACCTTCTGTTTGTTGCATGTTTGTTACTTTAGTAATTACCGTACTGGGAAACTAAGAATCTGTGGGTTTTACTGACACTGTGGCTCTTACTTGCCATTCATTTATAGGTTCGTTGGGGCCACATTGAGGACGTTGAGCTCATTAACGATGGCTCAGGACTGGGTTTCGGAATAGTTGGAGGAAAATCATGTGGTGTGGTTGTGAGGACAATTGTTCCTGGAGGATTAGCAGATCGAGTAAGTTGACCTTCATTGTTACCATTTTTTTTTTTTTAAAGTTTTTGGCCAGGGTCAGATTTGAACCTGCCACCTCTGGTATATGGGGCCGGCACCCTACTCCTTGAGCCACAGGCGCAGCTCCATTTTGGTTTTATAAGATTTAAATTGTATGGTTCAAAATGTTATTTTATATTGTAAGTACTAGAATATTTGACTCAATAGCTTAAAAATGCTTTATTCCATGAGTGTTAAGATACACTGTGCTCCGTTTTAAACAGTTCCTGAGTTATCGTCTTTTGGGGTTTTGTTGTTGTTGTTGGGCTTTTTTTGCCCATGATTGACAGGCTTCTTGATTCCATCAGAGGACAGTATTTCTTATTATAACACTTTGTTAATGAGTATTGCATTTGAGCATCTGTGTTACTCTCCTCCAGAGTATCTTTCCGTGGCCTAAATGTTAAAATCAGAAGGTACAATGATTATAAACATTTGTCTCAATACGATACATGGTGAGTTTCACTTGAATTAAAATTTATAGGTTATCAATTAAATGACTACCTAATTATTACTTAGCAATGTTAAACTGGAAGTGGGTGATGTAAAAACTAAGCAACTATTTCTGGTTAGTTTTGCATAGCAGAAATGTTAAGCACTACTTTTAGTTTTCATTTTTATTTATTTATTTTTTTGAGACAGAGTCTCACTTGGTCACCCTTGGTAGAGTGCTGAGGTGTCACAGCTCACAGCAACCTCAAACTCTTGGGCTCAGGTAATTCTCTTGTCTCAGCCTCCCAAGTAGCTGGGACTACAGGTGCCCCCCACCACGCCTGGCTATTTTTAGAGACAGGGTCTCATTCTTGCTCAAGCTGATCTCGAACCTGTAAGCTCAGCAATCTACCCTCCTCGGCTTCCCAGAGTGCTGAGATTACAGGCGTGAGCCCCCATGCCCAGCCTACATTTAGTTTTTCGAAATCAGTTTAGAAATTTGATTATAAAGTCACTAATAAGGCCAAATTATGTATATAGAATGTCCACAATAGTTCAGAAATAATTTTATTTATTCTTATAATCAGAATAATATGTAAAATTTCACTGATTATTGTCCAGTTACATATACATTTATCCCGTCTAATAAGTATAGTCCCAGCTACTCGGGAGGCTGAGGCAAGAGAATCGCTTGAACCCAAGAGTCTGAGGTTGCTGTGAGCTATGATGGTACCGCACTCTACCGGGGGCGACAAAGTGAGAGTGTCTCAAAAACAAATGTATAAGACGTAGTAAGTAAGAAATGAACTTGCTGTGCAAATGCTGCTTTGAGGCACGTCCCTTAGCTCCTCACGTCTGCTCAAGATGATCCACAGGCAGGAATTGTAGAACAGCTGCTGTGCCTTCCTCCAAGTGGGATCGATTTAGAGCAGTGGTTTTCAGAGTTTGGCTTGTGGGCCTCTGGAAGTCCCTGAGACCTGCGGGGAGGGCGTCTTGCTGGGAGTCCGTGAGATCTGAACTTTTATAATAGTACTGGGATGTTACTGTCCCTTTCACCCTGTTGACATTTGCTGATGGTGCAAAGCAGTGCAGACTGACTAACACTGTGGGCGCCTTCGTGCGAGATGAGGCAGCGGCACAGACAGGCGGAGTCACAGCTTTCTTTTCTGCCCTGTGTTTGCGACATTAAATGCCAGTTTCACTGAAAGTTTATCATGATGCAGTGAAAAAAATGGCTAACTTCAGTAAAGTTTGACCTGTTAGCATGTCTTTTTAATGTTGTCAAAACGGGAATATCATGTAGCACTCCTCTATACTAGAGTATGACTGTCGTCTTAAAAAAAATTTGCGCGGCTCGGCGCCTGTGGCTCAAGCAACTAAGGCACCAGCCAAATACACCTAAGGTAGCGAGTTCGAATCCCCAGCCTGGGCCCGCCAAACAACAATGACAGCTGCAACCAAAAAAAAA